ATGGTGGCAACCACAAAGACAATAAGCAGATATTACACACTCAAATCTGGCTCTGATACCAATTGTTGCGGAAGACGGCTATCGGATAGAGCAAAATCGCAACTAATAATTTGAGAAAATAAAAATGAAGATAAAAGAGACACAAAATTTACGTGAAAAATCCCTAAATAATATAGGGTAAAAACCACGGGTAACAGTAGAAGAATTTCACTATGAGAAAATAGGAATTACAACTTTTATCAATCTACCAAGGAGAAAACAATGATAATTCTCTCTTGATAAAAGGAGAAAATAACTCTCACGAAACTCTCTAAATTCTCTCTAGTATTGGAAGAAAGCTAGAATGTTTTGAGATGATTTTAAAGCTAAATGAGCTAGAATATTTATAGTTAAAGCTTAAGGACTAATCTTATAAATACCCTAAAATATAATGATTAATTTTAGCAATTTTACCATACAAAAATCAACAAAAATGCTGCCACCGAATTCACGTACATTAGAGCTGCCAAATTTGAAAATCAAATCTGCAGTAAAGTATGACTTTTATTTTTTCAACATGTTGTGCTAATGTAGGAAGCATTGAGCGTGATGTGCGGTTAGTGCCACTTCATGGGGTTTCGCATAAGGGCATTATTAATAGAATGGGGCGCCTGGTTTCCAAGACAAAGCATAATGGGGTTCTGGCGCACGCATTTCCTTGTATGTCGAGTGGTTATTATATGCTTTGGGTAGTTTAAGTAGGACGCACATGGGCTCCATGGTGGACTCGTGCGCTGTGTTGGAAGACAATGTGCTTGACGGAGATGGTGATCTTCAGCTTTCCATGTCTGGCTTCAACAATCTTAGGCCATTGGTTCTGAATATAGATTTGTGTTCCTTCATAACAGTGGTAGAGGGACCTCTTTCAAAGTTTCCTGTAATGGATATTTCTGTTATTCAAATGATAAGGTGTTGTCCAATAGAATTAAAAGGAAGCAGAAGAAATTTGGCTCTTTATTGGATATTCAGGACAAAGTTCTTTCGAAAGTCGAGAAAAAAAGAAGAGATCAAGCTTTGAAGAGATTTAATTTGCTGAAATCTGATCTAAATTCTACTGAATTATCTGGAAATCTCTATCTGATTCTGATAGCTTTGAAGAGATTTAATTTGCTGAAATCTGATCTAAATTCTACTGAATTATCTGGAAAATCTCTATCTGATTCTGATTTGAGAGGTGGGCTGCTTATGTTGTAAAGGATACATTGCCTTTAAGGAAGTTGTGGTAGTTAGTTAGATTTTGTGCTTCTACCATAACATTGTTTTTGAGTTTGGTGCGTGATTGTCGGGGTTTGCGTTATGTCTAAGGTTCAGTTCTATGGTGTTTTCGGCTGAAGTGGATCTTTCGATTGGTTTGGATTGCTATTTGTGTATGTTGTTCAGTGTGTTCGGACGGGGTTACGGTCTGATTCATGTAAAAGTGTTATATGTATTCGATCTTCACCACCTTAAGGTACACTCTTTTTCCTCCATTTAAGATTATGGAGGTTTTTTAATGAGGTCCTTGAGGTAGAGTACTTTGTGTTTTTCTAATACAATTACCCTCTTTAAAAAAAATTAACACGCAAAAATGATAAATAGATTGAAAATACGAATTATTGGGGATTAATATGATCTTGAGGATCGAAATATTTGATTATATTTAGTTGGTTAGTTAAGTTTTTTTTTTGTTCGTTCATATTCTCTTATAACATGTATTCCAGTTTTGTTAGGAGCATTCTTTTTCTTTTCTTAGAGTCTTCCTTCCTTTCCCGTTTAAGTAGGATTAGATCGGATAAAGAATTTGTCAGAAAGATCAAATGTGTAAATGTAAAAAGATACACAAGAAAATTATCAAAATTAACGAAGTTTAACAAAACGATAATTGAAACAACGGGAACTGTGGAGATTGAAGCTTTCATTTTTCTGTGTAAACGTAGTGGTGCATTCGAATAAATTAAAGCTTTCTCGAAGTGAGAAAAGTTTATAAAGCACGCCTCTCAGATTATTTCAAAAAATGAAATCATAATTGTTTGATTATTTCAATCAGCTGGTGGAATTGTCAATGGCGGTATGCTCCGCTCATTCTTGAAGAAGTTCTCAGGGTCCACCATGGCTTTCGCACCTGCAAGTCTCATGAAATTGTTCTTGAAATTTATTTTTAAAATTTTTAAATTAAATTTGATTTTTTTATTTTAATCTAAATTTAAGGTTTTATTTTGAATATATACACGATAATAAATATTAATTTTCATGTTGTATTCATCTTGAATTATATTTTTATTATAATTTAGATTATTCAAATTTATAATATATAATTTAAGTTTCGAAGTTTGGAAAATAATTTCAGTATCAATACTATTATCTTTAGTATCGATACTTGAAGAACAATATCGATATCTTATGAACATGTATCTATATTATCCCATCAAAATCTTAGATTTTGGGTTTTAAATGAATAATATCGATATCAATTTGTATTTGACGCTTACTCAGAACTTTATTCCTTACGAGGAAACTCATTCAAACTCCCCCTACTCATATAAGCCCCTAGGATGATATTTAAAACTTATTGAAATCATATAAGATCATAATCATCATTTATATGCATGAATAACACAAAATTCATCATAAATCATCCATAAGCAAAATGCACCCAACATGCCTTATGTACTCATACAAGTAAACAAAGCTACAAACAATGATCAACAAGTATTATAGATGAGTTAGAAGTGCGTTACTTTACTCTAAAACTGTTAGAAACCCCTCCTACCTAACTCAATCAAGTACAAGATTCTCGTTATTCTTGTTTTTGGAGATTCTTTTAAACTTCTTTCAATAATAAAAAAAAAAAATGGTTACTGACTCATTGAAAGTCTTGAAAAGAATTTAAAGGTGTATCTAAATACAAAGCCTTGGGGCTAAAACGATTGATTAGTCCAAGAATTAAAAAAAAAAAAACCCTAAAATCCTCACTACAACACCATGGCCAAACGTAAACAAAAAGAGTTTGGATTGAAGTTTTTGGGATGTAGATTCAGTAGCGGACCTACGTTGATGATAGGGTAGGCACATGTACAATCTGAAATTTTTTAGAATTTGAATTTTCTTTTTAATACTCGAAGTTTTCTTCATGCATATTAATATATGTGTACACCCTAAATTTAATCAAATAAAAATTATATTATTAATATATATGTTTCCACCCTCAAAAAAATTGTGTTTTACAATCTGAAATTTTTTAGAATTTGAATTTCTTTAATACTCGAAGTTTTCTTCATGCATGATTATATGGTGTACACCCTAAAATTTAATCAAATAAAAAATTATATTATAATATATATGTTTCCACCCTCAAACAAATTGTTTTTTCTTCAATAATACTGTAGATTGCAGCTCTTACCTCCTTTCAATCGTCCAAGGATCTTTCCTCTATAAAATTTCTATCTTAGTACTCAAACCACTTGAGAAGAAAATGAGATAAGAAAAGAAGACATAAGAATGTTCGGCTTTCAACACCCTTCCCCAATGACATAGGCATAAAATAAAGAAATTCAACCTTTAAAATGTTCAAGGGTCAATTATTTTTGGTCCTTCCTCATTTGTTCTCAATAAAAAACTGTATTTTTATGATTATCTGGATTCAATTCTCAACCAATTAAGTCCAAACTTAGTTCAAAACATTTTCATTATCTAATTATATTGGTTCAATTGTCTCAGATCAACCCAACTCATTAACTCGAAATTCAATATAAAAACTCTACTTTATGATTAAGGTATGATATTTAGACTTTTATATTTCTATCTATCCAATTAATAAAATTTCATTTTATTTTATTTCATCTTTAAATACCAGGTGAAGCCTTAATGTAGTTGAAAACCAACAACTAGAAATACAAGGAGAGACTAAACTGATAGGGTAGATGGTAAAATCATGTAACTTGTATTAGATAAAAATTAGGAGTATAGATTGGATAATCTTGTGTGGTCATTGTTTCAAATCTTGACATTGAATCGGAAGCTTCTAGATTTGACTAGATGAAACTAGTAATTTAGTCTGATCAAAGTTTTAATCTAATTTGGTTCTATTTATTAATTTGATGTAAATTAAACATTTTATATTTATAATTTACTAGTAGGTGTAAATCAATAACACAACGCTACAATATCGCTAAAATAATTATGTAAATTTTGGGACCAAAGTTAAAAAATTAAAAGGTTCAAATAGAATTTTAATTTTTTAGAAAATATCAAAATCGCCAACGTTTTGGAGGGCTACAAATTCCATTTTGAATAGTTCAACTGCATTCCAGCTTTGCTAAACGATGCCCCCATACATACTACTGCTTTGAACACTAGCCTCTTCAATTTATTTGGGTTATTCCATCCCTCACTGAGATACAATCTTTGAATCACGCTAGTAATCTCCGAATTTTAAGGATCAAAGTAAGAAAGTACTATAATTGGGGACCAAATAAAGTATTAAGCCAAAAAGGGTAGATCCAAGATATGGTATTGACTATATTATACTAAAATATGAAAGTAAAATGTTTGTAATAATATTAATTATCATTTGTAAAAATGAGTTTTTATTTTCAATTGAATTGTATTCAGTTAACTGAAGATCTATTTAATGATTTTTTAATGAAAATAACAATTAATAGTATTATTAATTTTAACTTTAATATTTATAAATAGATTGAACCACCATCTCCATACTTAAAATAAAGAGATCAAATCTCGAATTTTTTTATATATTAATGGACTAAAACAAGAACATAGTTATAAAATACGACATATGTTACAAAACGTCCTTATTTATTATACATGGAATAACACGATGTGTTTAAATTACAAGAATAACAAACATTTAACTTCCAGAAATTATTTCGCTTATTGTTGGTCGTCGTAGAGACAACTTCAACGAGCTGGTCGCATTGGCAATGTTGGTATGCTTTGTTCGTTTTTGAAGAAATTCTCAGGGTCTATCTTAGTTTCACTCTCGTCAGCTCATGAAATTGTTCACGAAATATTTTGCCCATATTCCTTGGCATTCTCGAAATCCGTCTCGTTGCTCTCGTTGCTACCGATGTCGAGATCTCGGTAGTTGACGAATGCTTCTCTTGGTTTTCTCGACGGTATGGTGCCATTGTTCGGTACAACCTCCTCGACAACTCGACGTATCGTGCAGCGGCGTCTATGCCTCCGTCTGACTCGGACCATGTCACTTCATATAGCACCATGAAAAGGTTACCGCCGCGGTGCGCAAAAGCAGTTTCTGTGTCCGAAATCTCTTCCATTCTCCCGCCATAAGGGTTCATTAGGAGGAAGATGTCTTCAGTGTCCATCATTGCCTCCCATAACTTCTCCAACCCTTGTTTAGGAATCACTGCTTTGTAATAATCCGACTTGCTCTTGCCAAATGATCGGTTCACCTGCACTCTATCCAGCAACACATCGGTGGTAGTTCCATTGGGGAATTCAGCCCATACGGTGGATTCGACCCAACTCATCTCTAAACAATCACTTCGTTGTAACCCAATTCGGGAAAGCTTGTGGCTCATCAATCGCATAAGTCTATTAGTTTTCCCTAGAAAGTGACCCTTGAATGAAACCCTAACGGTTCTGTTGTTGCGGCCATTGTTAATGGGCTGAGGCTGGAGTCGAATATAAAGATCTTTTTGGCAGTTTTGGTGCAACTTGTTGCCAACGATAAACAGCTCCGTTGCGCCTTGCTCCAATGTCCTTTGCACGGTGAATACTGTAACCCTAGGTGGAACACGAACCAGCTTGACCCTCCATGAAAGGATGATCCCAAAGCTGGTTGTTCCACTCCTCTTATCGCCCAAAACACATCTCTCCCATTGATTCACGGTTAGGATCCTTCCATTGGCATCAATCAACTGTGCATCGATGACATTATCGATGGAGAGCCCGTATTTTCTAATAAGAAACCCATAGCCACCTCCACTAAAGTGTCCACCAATGCCAAGAGTGGTGCAATAACCAGATGGGAACCCATGGACATTGCTTTCTCGGCTATTCTGTAATAAAGTTCACGGTTGTGGCCCCGGCCTGAACCCACGCCGTCTCACTCGCCACATCACATCGATAGACCGGAGATTGAACATGCAAGAATGACAAATGGAACTCCGGAAGTGTAAGAAAGTCCCTCTAAATCATGGCCGCCGCTCCGAATCCTTACTTGAAAACCATGACGCTTGGCGCAAACGACGGTGGCTTGAGCATGGGATGGATGCAGGGCGGTTATAATGGCCCGCAGTCTCGAAGTTGTAGACAAGACTATTCGAAGGTTATTAGCACGCTGGTATATAGTTTCGAAAGATGAATTGTTGGGCGTTAAATGGCATCTGTAATCGGAAAAGAATGGTCGAATGTGTAGGAAGACATCGAAGAAAACTATTGAATCAACTGAATCGTCAGATGTAACCAATGAAATTGATAACAAAAATATCGAAAGGGTGGAGATGGAAGCTTTCATTGTTTCAGAATAAGTGTAGGGATATTGTGCATTGTTCTTATGGTTCATGGAGTATTTATAGAGTGTGGGGGAGTGGCGGCCGGCTGTATTCGAATAGACACGACCTATTCTCCATGTGATAGAAGTTTACAAGGCACGGCTCTACACAATTTCAATAAGGAAACTATTTTTGTTTTGAAATTTTTAAATTAAAAAAAACTTTATAATACCTTACGTATATCTCTTAAGTAAGGTCGTTTAAATCTTTACATTTACAAATGAAACAAATTCAATTTGGAAGGTCACCCTCACCTTTACAATAGTCAATCCGAATTAATCCATTATTAAATCAGAAATCAATAAATGATTATCATAAAAAATATGAATATGATTTAATTTGTGTTTTATACTATTAATAAATCAAATCATTATACATACATTAATTGTTTATTATATATATTTCATTTGACTCATTTTATTTTTAATTGATAGGTTATGATTATTAATTCTAATTTTTGTATAGTTTGAGGCTTCTTTGATTGAATATCACGTTTTTTTTATACTCTAGTAATAGCTTGCTCTTTTCTTTAAATTGAACATTCGATTTGTCCATACACACACACAAAATGAATCTATATAATTTTGTTTTACCTCAATGTCAAAATGGTCTACTACAATCAATTAATTTTAATATAATATGTTGAACTTTTTTCCCTTTTCTAAGAGTAGGTGTTGATACGTTAATTACTTAGTTTTCAAAGAATTAACACGTAAATGATAAATAGATTGAAAAGATGAATTATTGGGGATTAATATGATATTGAAGATCGAAATATTTGAGTATATTTTGGTTGGTTGGTTAAGATGTTCATTTTTTATTTTATTTTTTGAAAGAGGATACTTTGTATTAAGAGGAACAAAGTACACCACCTCAAGGACCTCATTAAAAAACCTCCCTAATCCTAAATGGAGGAAAAAGAGTGCACCTTGAGGTGGTAGGAACATAGAACACATAAACTCTTAAAACATACACACCAAACCCCAGCCCTACAATACCCAAACCAGTACATAAGAAAACCTCAACAGCACCAGAACATGAAACGAAGAACCAACACTGGGACATGGAGAAGATAAACCAATTCCTCGTCCACTATACCATTAAGCAACTGGAGCCCACCACTAGCAAGCACAAGCTGGAAATTAGGACCAATACAATTTAAAAAGGGTGCACCTTGGATATTTTATTTTTGGCAACATCCCACCCTTCCACCTCACATTCCACTAAGCCCATATAAGATGTCTCCAATACACAAGCTTTAACGTTCATCTGACAGAGCGAAGCATTAGAATTAACCTATTAAAATCAGCCACGGGACATGTTGACCATAACAAATAAAAAGTAGCCTGAAGCTCGAAAAAGAGCTTACAGTCACCCGCCAATCTCCTAATTTCCCACAAGAGAGCATCACGCGTACTTGAAACACCGCCTATCGTCCTCTGCCTTAACCACACAAAACATTGCCTTCTGTAAACTGGCCACACCCTTCTGTTAACTACCAAAACTATCGCCTCCTCCTAGCAACAACACATACCCCTTCTGTTAAACTGGCCACAATTATCGCCTTCTCCTAGCAATAGCACACGATCAAACCACAGCATCACCGAAACAAGAGACAGAAATCGCCCACGAAAGTACAGACCACTAGACAACCACCACCAATCAGAAAACAGATAACTGAAGAATTCCCAAAACATATTGGCAGCCGATAAAACTAGAGCCACAGAAATACAGATTAACAAAAAAAATAAACCTACTAAAAACCTAACACTAAAATCCTAAATAACAAACTACTCCAGCTCCTCTTAAAACCACGAAAAACCTCAAGATCAAAGCCATAACCCTCCACAACCCCTAACATCACTCACCAAACTCAAACGAATCTAGAGACACTAACTCCTTGAGCACATCACTCGCAAAACCAATATCATTAACGAATCCGACCCTAGAGCCATAACAACTTCTCATAAGAAAGTACCCACAGAAACTTCACCATATCAACCCTACATCTTCCAAAAGCCTACCCAAAGAATAGATATTGGTAGAATATCCCCAAACAACGAAGCAGATAACGAAGGAACCTTAAACACTCTCACTCATACATAATTTTGCAATCGAGCAATAGACTGTTCGCTATGGCAATCACACAAACGCGAGAAGCATATAAACAATGACAAACTGACTAGAAACCCCATAGTATTCCAAACTTTGAAACAAATATCATAAGCAAACCAAATCGCAAGCACGAAACAACAATCATTAGGAACAGGAATATACTCACTTAATCCCCAAAAACACTCGAGCTTGTCCGATCAACCCTTGATCTAAGAACATAAAAAAGAAGAATCAACATCACTGTGTTGGGCTTTTGAGATCTTGAGAGAAGCGGTTGTAGGAGAGCGTGAAGCAGCAACGGGTGGTGGAGGCGGCAACCGCCTCGCGAAAGAGGCGGCCACCGCCTCACTGGAAAACTCTTAGGAGCACTCCTTTTTCTTCTCTAAGAGTTCTTTCTTTCCTCTCTAAGTAGATTAAGATTGGATATATAATTTATCTAAAAGATCAAAATATGTAAATATCAGAAGATATTGAAGAAAATTATTGAAATTAACCAAATCATAAAATGTTGGCAACGAAGTTGATAACAAAATGATAATTGAAACAACGGAACTGTGGAGATTGAAGCTTTCATTTTTCTGTGTAAACATAGTGGTGCATTAAAATAAATTAAAGCTTTCTCGAAGTGAGGAAAGTGTATGAAGTAAGCACGTCCTCAATTATTTCAAAAAAAAATCATAATTGTTTGATTATTTCGATCAGCTGGTGGAATTGTCAATTGTGGTTTGCTCCGGTCATTCTTGAAGAAATTCCAGGGTCCTACTGAAAATCATCAAAGTGGCAATTGCGAACAACTAGATCATTTTTGCATCATCAAAATGGTTTTCTATGTATCCGCATTTCGTGTTTACTCCGAATATGCTGAAAGTTCAGATCACTTTTTTTAATAATGGATATTGTGTATAAGCAGCCTCATTGTAGGACTGATAATGAACAGGACTACTTCCGCTATGATAACTGTTGGGCAAGTGAAGATGCATGCCGACTACACGTACGGGCAGCGTGAGATTATACCACGGGTTTCTACTTTGGATAAATTTGAGGCGGTAGGAGTAGCGTTGAAAGATTGGCAGCACAAGCGATTTCGAGCCACATGGGCGTATTGGCAAACTTAAAAAAGTATTGAACTATAAGTTGTCGAGCAATCGTCGGGGCATAAACCCAGCTCTTTTATTAAAACTAAACGCGAATTACAAACCTTACTGGATAAAGAATAGCGTTATTGGTCGCAACGGTCGCGTGTCCATTGGCTTGCGTTTGGGGATCGTAACACATCATTTTTTTCATGCACGTGCTACACAGCAGAAGAAGAACCGAATTACAGGATTATTTAATGCTCGTGAGCATTGGACAGAGAATACCAATGATAAAATAATATCGTGATGAGTATTTCAGACTTTGTTCACGACGGATGATGTTGCGCATAATGCTCGCATCTTGGATGCGTTTGGCAGCGAGCAACACTACTAAGATGAATAGTGAGCTCACTAAGGCATTCTCAGTGGATGAAATAATGGTTTCTTTCAATGACATCAGTCCTAGGAAAACCCATCGGTGATGATGCGGTGAATTTATGTATGGATTTGCTTAATGGGAAACAGACATGTCCACGGTTAATAAAACTATCTCTTGCTTATCCCTAAGGTTATGGAACCCCCAATATGAAGCTATATCGGCCAATTAACTTGTTCACAGTAATCTACAAGGTTGTTTCTAAGGTGTTAGTCAACCTACTGAAGCCCCTAATGGCATTTTGTATTAGTGACAACCAAGCTACTTTTATTCCTGATAGGCAAATCATAACATTCTAGTTGCTCACGAACTTGTAAACTATTTGAATTCTTCCACACTAGGAATTAATAAAGGAAAGCTTTGAAGTTTGATATCGAAAAGTTTATGATAGAGTCGATTGGCCCTTTCTCCGGGAAGTTATTGTTGGTTTTGGCAAATTTTGAATCCCACATTGATTTTGTATAAGGAGGAGGGGAAATTCTTTTGTTATAAATAGAGTCCTCCTTCTCCTTAGTTTAGCATACCACAAATATAAGTTCTACTATATTAAAGGCTATTATATTTTTTCTCTCTCTTTGTAATATTTCCTCTATTAGTGAAATATTATTTTTAGTAGTTCGAGGACGTAGGCATGATTTTGCCCTAATCTCGTTAAATTTTGGTGTTCTCTTTATGTCTATTTAATAGCTATTATCGGGTATAGTTAATTATATCCTATTAAATTACTTGTCTTGGTAGTTCTGTCTAAGGAGAGTGGGTTTAAGAGGACCATTGTGACCCCTCCGCTCTTTCCTGGGAATCTACATTGGGGTGATTTTAGTACAATTGTTCACACTAATCACCTAGATAATAGTTTCAAGGTGAATTTGTTATTATTGGTGGAAATTAACCCGAATTCCACAACAATTAGCATCAGAGCTCTTGGTTTATTTTAGTATGCTCTCTGGTTGCGGCTTAGGCTGATCTTCCACATCAAAAAAAAAAATCCTTGGGCTAATTGACATTCTGCGTTGACAGCTATAAAATAGAATTTCTAGTAGAAATGACAGACGACACAAAACATCCACATCGTCATCAACAGCTTCTTCATCTTCAATTTTGGTAAGAATGTTGTGACAAATGTTAGATTTGCAGTGGAGATTTTTTATGGCACCGGTCATTCGGCATGTGACAAAGTAAGGTTTTAGATGCCCTATTTCAGCAGGGTCTAGACGCTATTGAATGAGAGAAACCAGATGATGTTGAGGAGAAAGAATAAAAGGATCAATAGATTGAGATGTGGTACTATTCGATCGTGTCTTTCTAGAGAGCAAGTATGCATTTTTTAAGAAACTGCAAGTAAATTGTGGAATGCACTGGAGGAGAATTTTTGAAGAAAGCGGACAGAACAAGCTCTACATGAAAAAGATATTGTTCCGATTCAACTATGTACCAGGTATCACTATGAATGATCATATTACTAGCTTTAATCAGCTAGATGATCTGATGAATATGGACGTGACTTTTGAAGACGAAGATCTGGCTCTGATGTTGATGGGATCACTTCCTGATGAGTTTGAGTATCTTGAAACTACTCTACTTCATAGGAAGGTGATGTGTCTCTCAGTGAAGTAATGTTGCCTTGTATAGTTATGAATTGAGAAAGAAAGACAAAACAATAAAATACAAGTCGAAGCAGAAGCTCTGTTGTTAGAGGTCGTTCGAAGAGTCAGAATAAAGGAATCAGAGGGAGATCAAAGTCAACGTCCAGATTGAGCAAAGATGAATGTGCCTTTTGTCGAGAAAAATTGCACTAGAAGAAAGAATGTCCCAGGCTAAAGAATAAAGGCAAACCTAAAAAGGGAAAGGTTTCTCAAAGTCAAATGTGGTCGAGTATGATAATGCAGATTCAGATTTCACATTCGCTGCTATGCCATCAACCAGCTGTTCCAGTTCATGGCTGTTAGATTCAGCTTGTAGCCACCATATTACCCCAAATAGATAATGGTTCTTTGATTTTAAAGAACTAAAAGGTGAATTGTCTACACAGCAAATAATTCCCCTCTTGACACACTTGGGATTGGTTCAATTCGCTTGAGAATCAGGATGGATCAATCAGAACCTTAGCATGTCCATTATATACCAAATTTAATGAGAAATCTCATCTCTGTGGGAACCTTAGAGTCAAAGGTTTAGAAATAAGGGCAAAAGATGGGATTATAGGATTATCTCTGGTGCACTGGTGATAATGAAGGGAATCCGGAAAAGAAATATTGTGTATTACTTTCTGGGTAGTACAATTGTTGGGACATCAGCAGTGGTAGCTTCTACTGATGAACAGGATTCAGAAGCAACCAAGTTATGGCATATGCTTTGGGGCATATTGGTGAAAAATCCTTGAAATTTAATAGATCAAGAATTATTGAAGGGCTCGGGCTTGCAAATTAGCTTTTTGTGAGCATGCATCAAAGGGAAGAAGACGGGGTGAAATTTGGAACAGCAATCCATACTAAGGTATTTTGGATTATGTTCATTCAGATGTATGGGGGCCTTCTAAGACAACTTTATTGGGAGTAAAACTATTATGTCACCTTTGTTGATGATTTTTCCCAGAGAGTTTGGGTATAATGAAGACAAATGATGAGGTGCTAGGATTTTCCTTAAATGGAAAAAGATGATGGAGACTCAAACATGTAGAAAAATCAAACGTCTCCGTACAGACAATGGTGGAGAGTACAAAAATGATCCATTTCTAAAAGTCTGTGAAGAAGAAGGTATTGACAGGAACTTCACTGTCATAAATACACCACAACAGAATGGGGTGGCAAAGCGTATGAACCGGATATTAGTGGAAAGGTGATTTATGTCTAATGTCGGGTTAGGAAAAGAATTTGGGCTGAGGCTTTGGTCTATGCTTGTCACCTTGTCAACCGCTTATCATCGACTATTGGTGGTAAACACCATTAGAGAAATGGTTTGGAGAACCTACAAATTATGATTCCTTACATGTGTTTGGTTCACTGCATACTACCATGTTAAGGAGTCAAAGCTGGATCCAAGAGCAAAGAAGGTGATCTTATGGGGATCACCTATGGTGTGAAAGGCTATTATTTTGGTATCCAGAAACAATAAAATAATCTTCAGCATTGATGTTACCTTTGATGAATCTACCATGTTGAGAAAAGTGCTTTAGAAAAATGGAGCAGACAGATGGAACTCCCAAACAGGTGGAGATTGAAGTAAGCAGAATTGTCCCAGCCATTAAAGAAACTGATATTGACTCTCCTATGGTAGAAGAAGAGTCAGATGAAGAAGAGGTTCAGACCCAATAACCTCCACAGCAACATGAATCAATTTCACTCAGAAAGGGAAATATGACCATTAGACAACCTGCTCGTTATACTGAATCTCTTTTACATCACCAATCGCAATTGATGATGTTCCTGCCATTTTAATGAAGCAGTCCAACGTTCAGAACATAAAAGTGGAGGATCGCCATGAATGAAAAAATGCAATCCCTTCAAAAGAATCAGACATGGAAACTAACTAGTCTTCCGAAGGAAAGAAGGTAAATGGGTGCAAGTGGGTA